TAAAAATAGTTTTCTTAATTGACCTTCAGAAACGGTAAACTGTTGTCTTGATTGAAAAAAATTCTTTGTCTAATTTTGCCAATGTCGACTTAACAGATAATTACTCTTTTTTTTCATTCTTAGGCTACGTCAGTGCTAAGCACACACTTTATATGGACTCACCTAAATAACGATTCAGCACTGTACACAAATATAACTGATGGAAGTGTTATCCTAAACATTACGACCCTTCCCGAAGATAATGTTTGTTTGATCATCTAGTTTTTTTTGCGGCGTTAAAGCCTAGGTGTTAAACATACCATACGTTTAAATGTCTAGCAAAGATGTTATAATTTAAATAGATCAAGTAAATTTTTACTGTGTCAGAAATCGGCAGTCAAGAATTGTCAGTAATTTGCTTGTGATAATTATGTTGTCTTATAGCATACGCATTCAAGCAACTATGGTGATCGGTCACTTTTGACAATTTCAAATGTTAGTAAAACTGATGAGGGTTATTACGTTTGTATTGCCGGTAACAGCATTGGTCAGGTATGTCAGAAAAAATCATTTTTTTCTTTGAACCAACATCAGGACGTCAAATTATTTTATGAGCATATGTATAGATCACAGCTAATTACATTTTTATTTTATTTTTTAATAATTTAGCAAAGACAGCAGTTTTTTTATTTGATACTTGTTATACAGGATGTTGCATATGCATATTTGCAAGTTGATGATATTAATGAAGCGAAGAGCTCATCGCTGTTATACGTTATATTGGGATCACTGGGATGTTCGGTACTCTTCATCTTAGCTCTGTTTGGACTTTGGTTGTTGCGATTTTATTGCAATGAAAAAGCAAAAAATCAGATTGGGCAATTGGACCAGTACATGAGACCAGAACGGAAAAAGGTTTTAATCTAAAAGTTGTTTAAGATTAATTGGAGAACGTTATAGATGCAAAATAAATTATACTTAAAAACATTTAAAATTTTATTTTATTGTTACATTTCTCTTTTTTTTTTCTTTAATTTATCAGGACTGCAACAGTGGGCATGCATTTTAACCATTTGTTACGTGGTAATCATTTTTTCATGTGACAGTTGAATGAGAAAAAAAATTAATTAAATTGGTGTGAAAGTGTTACGCAGAATAGTAGATCTTCTATTAGATCAGCACTGACAATGAAATCAACTTGCTTAATAAATGCTTTTAAAAGTTGTTTTAGGTGGTTATCACAAAAAAAATGCCTAAACCTGATGACGATGACTCTGAAGCACTATCAGCCTACCAGGTTCAATTTTTCCCACTGCCCAATACCGGTCACAGAAATCAGCCGGCTGGTGGACGTCAGCCCTTGTACAGTGATTTAACATTACACATGACAGAATATGTCATGGAGGCTGATCCGAAATGGGAGATTGATAGATCAAGGTTTTTACCACTATCGTTTTTTCGTTAATATTTGTTAGAAAATCGGTGCAAGTTTATAATGGTAAAATTTTAGACTTAAATTGAAAAAACAATTAGGTGAAGGAGCATTTGGAGAAGTATGGAAAGCCGAACTAACTTTTTCGGAAGGTTCCGATTTGTCGACACCAAGAGGAAAAAATGACAATAAACAGGTATAGTGTAAGTCAATTTCAGTTTCTGAAATATGACACATCACTTGATGTTGTGAGCAATTTCAGACAAGCCATTCATTACTGCTTAGTGACTACAATTCAGTGAATGCATTGTAAATCGAACTAGGGGTTACGAAAATTTTATTACGTACAGTGTTTTTTTTTTTTTTTTTTTTTTTTTTTTTTTTT